ATTTATTTGACAGAGAGAGAGACAGCGAGAGAGGGAACACAAGCAGGGGGAGTGGGAGAGGGAGAGCAGGCTTCCTGCCAAGCAGGGAGCCGGATGCGGGGCTCGATCCCAAGACCCTGGGATCATGACCTGAGCCGAAGGCAGACACCCAACGACTGAGCCACCCAGGTGCCCTAGCTATTTTTAAGAGCACTATTGATAAACATGTTAATTTTTCCTTCTCAGAATTTTGATAAATACCAAGGTTAGAATGGCAAAAATTGACAAGAAAAGAAACAACAACTGTTGGCAAGGTTGTGGAGAAAGGGGAACCCTCTTACACTGTTGGTGGGAATGCAAGTTGGTACAGCCACTATGGAAAAAAGTGTGGAGGTTCCTCAAAAAGTTAAAATTAGAGCTACCTTATGACTCAGCAATTGCACTAATGGGTATTTACCCCAAAGATACAGACGTAATGAAAAGAAGGGACACATGCACCCCAATGTTCATAGCAGCAATGTCCACAATAGCCAAACTGTGGAAAGAGCCGAGATGCCCTTCAGCAGATGAATGGATAAAGAAGATGTGGTCCATATATAAAATGGAATATTATTCAGTCATCAGAAAGGACGCATACCCAACTTTTGCATCAACATGGATGGGACTAGAGGAGATTATGCTAAGTGAAATAAGTCAAACAGAGAAAGTCAATTATCATATGGTTTCACTTATCTGTGGAACATAAGAGATAGCACGGAGGACATTAGGAAAAGGAAGGGGAAAATGAAAGGGGGGAAATCAGAGGGGAGGTGAACCATGAGAGACCATGGACTCCAGGAATCAGACTGGGGGTTTAGAGGGGTGGGGGATTAGAGGAATGGGTTAGTCTGGTGATGGGTATTAAGAAGGGCACATATTGCATGGAGTACTGGGTGTTATACACGAACAATGAATCATGGAACGCTACATCAAAAACTAACGATGTACTGTACGGTGACTAACATAATAAAATAAAAAAGAAGGTTTTTAATGGGTTAACCCATGAGTGGTGTGCCTTTATAATAAAGGAGTGTGGCTCAGGAAAAAGAAAAAAATACCACGGTTGTTTTCCACAACTACAGTCCTCCAGGTTCTAGGCTTCAAGATTGCCTCATACATTATTATAAAGTTACCAAACCTTTTTTTCTTTTTAAAGATTTTATTTATTTTAGAGAGAGAAAGAGAGAGCATGGGAGCAGGCGGGGTTTGGCAGAGGAAGAAAATCTCAAGCAGATTCCCCGCCAAGCCAGAAACCAACCAGGGCTGATCCCAGGACCCATGAGATTATGACCTGAGCTGAAATCAAGAGTCGGACATTTAATGGACTGAGCCACCCAAGCTTCCCCAAGTTAGCAAACCTTTTAAAGAAGAATGATAAAATGAAATTGTGGCAAGAAAGTTGGAGATGGTGGTCTTTCCTATATTATTGCTATATAATATTACATTTTTATGTTACACAAGGGATTACATTTTCAGGTGTTCACTTACCTTGAATAAATATTATCTTTCAAGACAATTAAGACTATAAATATCTCAGTACTTCAGAGACCATAAAAAGTAACATTAGTAACCTTTTCTTCAGGATGCAGTTTCTTTAACTTCATTTAAAGATGTTTTAGGGAGCCATATGCCATTGCTTAAAGTACCTAGAAATTCTAATAACATATTTCTCTTACAATAAGACTGCAGTTGCAGAAATAAAACATTAAAACTAAAGACATATAACATTATTAAATTATTATTTAATTAGAACTGAAAACATATAAGGATTCAAAATACTTTAAAAAGGAAACAGAACCGTCAGGCTCAAAAGGGTTGGTATTTTTTTAGTCACTTTCTTATTTGAGTAAATTAAAATTTTGAGAAGAGTAGATATGCTGTAGAGAGTGTTTTGAAAGCAGAATGTGCAAAATGTTTCTCTCCTCCTACAAAACCAAAGACAGGATTTTCTATGCCCTCTCTCCTTCCTCTTTTACCAATGTAGGCTTCTACACTCAATTTCCTAGTAACTTTTTGGACTGATTGAACAAACTTCAGATCAAGATTATGTACTACTTCACACCCATTAGTATGGCTGCTATCAAGAAAGTGTATAATATAATAGGTGCTGATGAGGATGTGGAGACATTGGAATATTTATGCTTTGCCACCGAGAATGTAAAATGGTACAGCCATTGTGGAAAACAATATGGATGATTCCTCAAAATATTAAACACAGGAATACAATATGATCCAGCAATTCCACTTCTGGATATATACAAAAGAGAAGTGAAAGCAGGGATTCAAACAATACTTGTAAACCATATCTATAGTAGCATTATTCAAAATTTCCAAAAAGGTAGAAGCAATTCAAGTGTCCACCAACAAATGAATGGATAAACAAAATATGGTACAAGTATTCCCTGCTTTTTGAAAGTTCGCATTCTGCCACTTCCCTTGTAGGAAAGATCTACAAGGGTGCCTGTTTTTGCTAACCCAAAGTAATCCAAAGAGGATTTTTGCTTTTATGAAAAAAGGTGAAAAGTGAAAATAGCATTCAGCATTTGTTTTGCAGCAAGCCATTAGAAAGGCAGAGTGACCATAGCAGTGAGAGTGGCCTTGCCAAGCTCCCTGTAAACCATACTCAGCAAGCATCTCAGCATCAAGCCGCCATAGCTTTGAACTATGTCTTGTGAGCATCTGTGCTAATCTTGAAGTATGTTGTTCACCCATTAGCAAGATGTGTCCTAAGATATCAGAAAAGCCTAGGAGAAGTTATTTTTTTGGATCTGGGAATACTCATTTTTCCATATAAAATCAATGTTAATTTCTTCACTTTATGTAATTTCAGCTTACTAAAAAAGTTTCATAAGAATGCTCTACCTTTAGATAGCGGGGAAACTTGTATATAAATACAATACAATATTAGTCCTTTTAAAAAGGAAGGAAGCTACGACACCTGCTACCGCATGAATGAACCTTGAAGACATTATGCTAAGTGAGATAAGCCAGTCACAAAAGGACAAATCAAAATTATAAGAGACAGAAAGTAGAATGTTTTTTTGCCAGGAGATGAGCAGAGGGAAGAACAAGGAATTAGTGTTTGATGGGTAGAGAATTTCAGTTTGGAAAGATGAAAAATTTCTGGAGAACTTTTTTATTAAACATATTTTTAATTAAAAAAATAAAAAAGCCGTTTAGACTTTCAGTGGTGGAAAATGATAATGCAATAAGCTTCAGGAAAGAAATTTGAAGGTTTGACTCTTACTCCCTATTACCCATTCACAGCCCCACCCCCCATACAGTTGGTTTGCAAGGATAAGATACAAGCCTCTAACTGGACTGAAGCAAAAGGCCTATTCATGCTCACCCAGTCTCCCCTCCAGTCCACTCCGAACTGTTTAGACAAGTGCACATACCCAAAGCATTATCTTTTATGTCAAAGCCATAGTTAATAGCCTTATGTGTTCTTAATTTCCCACTCAGCAATTAATAAATACTCCAGTTTTACATTTGGAGCTCTCCACAATCAAGTCTTCTCTTGCTAGATATATTCCCCAAAGAAATACATTTAAATGTAGTTTGTCACACAGCTAGGAGCAGTCTTTACAGTGTTAGTGTAAAACAGAGTAGAGCTGAAAGGCATAGAAGAAGCAGTTCATTTTTTTACCTTTACTGGGAAATAATAAAAACAGCCTTCTGTGGGTATTGCTTTTGTTAAAGACATGATATTATTTTCCTTAATGATATTCATATAATGTCCTTGCTTAAAACAGTGTTTAGCTTTTGTAAATGTACTCACAAATTTAGCAATATAACTTAAATCTGACGTGATTCAAAAGTTTTGGTTTATAGGAAAAATATAAAAACTCAACCTTTGTTTTTTAAAATTGTAGATAAGGAACGATTCAATAGATAGGAAAAAATAATTTCTCAATATATTTCAGTTGACTAATGGTGTTATAAACTGAATTATGTCACCTCAAAATGCATACGTTGAAGCCTTAACCCCCAATGTTACTATATTTGGAGATAGGGTCTTTAAAGAAGACATTGGGTTAAATACATTCATAAGGGGAGGACCCTCCTCCGATATGAGAGTGTTCTCATAAGAAGAGACAGACAACAGGGGCACATACAGGAAAGGCCATATGAGGACACAGCAAGGAGGCAGCTGTCTGCAAGCCAACAAGAGAGAGGCCCCAGGAGAAATCAGCCCTGCTGGCTCCTTGATCTTAGACTTCCAACCTTCAGGACATTGAGAAATGCATCTCTGTTGTTTAAGCTACCAGTCTGTGGTATTTTGTTATGGCTGCCCAAGGACACTAGCACAAATGACAAGTCAAAAGGAAAAATAATTATGAAAAGAGAGAAAAAAAATCAGAGAAAGGATGAGACAGGCACATTCACGCCCAGAAGAGACACACAGAAGATGTAAGAAACCCAGATATATAATATATATACGAGTATCCTCTACTATTTATACTTGCCGAGATGAATAGTGAAGCTTGGATTCCATTTTCAAGCCCCAGAGTCCCATGTTTCAGTTTAGAGAGCCCTCATTCAGAAAAACATCAATGTGTGGGCTTGAAATCGTCCTTGGATTTTTTTAGTCCTCTAATTGTCACACACTCCTAACGGATGTCTTCATGTTCCACTGGCCTCCATTCTATTTACTTGACAGTCCAGGTACCATTACAGAAACAGTTACTATCACATTTCGGGCAAACCATTGTGATGATCGCTTTGGCTATCAGTACTCTTCAAATAAAAATTAACACACATATTTAGGAGTTACAGTGGTCTGCGCAATGCAAGATTTACACAAGACATGATAACTGAACAAAAAGTACTGTTTCAGGAAAAAGATGAATTTCAATGGAGAATCATTTTAAGACTGAAATAGGTCCATAGGAAAATCTCACATATCAAAATTAACCCAGTAACGTGCCAGAAAAAAAAAATGGTAATTCCACTCTATGTCCAGTCTCACAAATACTCACAGGACAGTAATCCCGAAGCACTGATGATGACCCATACAAACTAGGCCAGCTGGGTTGAGGAGTCAAATGGGAAGACTTTGTTGGCACGATTCCTCTCCAATCGGAGAATGTTTTGTCTGTTAGAAATATCAATGTAGGTTAAAACAATATTTATTCAAGAAAAGTACACACCGATCATACTTCTTAGTGTTACAAAGAGGAAAGTGAATCATCTTTATGGCCCCATTATTCTGTATTAAAATCGCATCTTGTCATCTAATCAGGGAGATGGAGAAGCCATCGTACTGCACAGAGAGGCCTCAGTTAACTGGCTCTCTCATACAGCAAAGCTCTCATGTTTTTATTGCAAACAGCGTGCCCATCAGAAAACTAAGAGGTTCATTCTTTTGACTCTCTTCTCTTTAAGAACACTGACTTCTTTTTTTTTTAAAGATTTTATTTATTTATTTGAGAGAGAGAGAGAATGAGAGATAGAAAGCACGAGAGGGAAGAGGGTCAGAGGGTGAAGCAGACTCCCCGCTGAGCAGGGAGCCTGATGCAGGACTTGATCCCGGGACTCCAGGATCATGACCTGAGCCGAAGGCAGTCGCTTAACCAACTGAGCCACCCAGGCGCCCTGACTTCTTTTTTTAAAGGAGGCTTAAAGCAAAATCATATTTGTGAGTAGCACTTACAAAAATCAAAGGAAAGCTCCTCTCTCTGTTACATCAGTACTTTAAGAGAAAAATCAGAATTATGATGAAGGCACACGTTTTGAAATTGCAAAGTAAGTGAAATTATTAAGAGTGCTTAAGTAAATAGGTTGAAAGAGCAAAAGGTCAGCCAACATATACCCACATATTTCTTCGTCTCATGACAGTTGTTAACATGGGATTTCCACAAAGAAATTTTTTTTAAAAGATGACGAGATTTAAGATTTATTTATTTCTCAGAAACATTAATCATTTAAAAGAAGGAAAAATTCAGTTCAATCCTACTGTCCAAAATGAATCAAACTATTTTCACATTTCCAATTTTCTTTCTAATAGTTATTTATATATTATTTCCTGAAACTTTTGATTTAATAGAGTCATCTATGGACTGGCTAATTTAAGATAAATTCAGAGAAAACTCAGAAGTGATAAATTTTCTCATTTCATTGCTTCAATTTACTTACAGGGTCATAAGTTAAGTGTCTTATAGGGAGGCAGAGTAGGAACATAAAAGAATAAAAAATGTAATGTTATCTCAGAGACATCCCAATCAATAACATGCATACATCCTACCCCATTCTAATTTTATATGTATATAATTTCTCCCATTTCAGTCAAAAAGAATCTTTGTCCTCTATCAAAAAGGCAAAGTCTCTAGAAGAAGCAACATAATAAATCATATATTTCAATCACAACTCAATATGAATAAATAAAATTCTTTAGTGGAAGCAAATGCCAATAATGGAAAAATTATGAAGAAAGTGAACATATTAGTATCTGGAAAGAGGCTAGCAAAGGAAAGGCTATACACATTATACTTTAACAGGGGACTTTTATAACCCCAGGGGGATATAAAAGGAGAGCACAGGGTTATTAGAGATGTATAAGCCCTCACATTTCTTATGAAACTTTCTTGAGTAATTTGAAACACTCCTCAACTCACTAGCATTATCTCTGGCCCACCTACTTCCCTTAATGAACTTCTACAATAAGTGTTCTCACATTTTAGATAATTGGGCATCTCACATTTTAGATAATTGGGCATTTCTTTCCAATCTCTTTTTAAATTTATAAACCCTTCCAGGACAAAGACAGTATCTTGGTTGGAATTGCTCCATGCTTCTGGTTCTTCAGCAATGCAGTTAAGGTAGCTATGTAAACACTGGTGAACAAGAATTAGCCTCCGGAGGTGAGATCTCACAAGCAAAGGGAGTCTTCCTGATCACTGAACTGCCCGACCCAAAATGAAACTAAATGCTATACAAATTATTTTTCCAAGACAGTCCAGAGCACTTCAAATATTTTATCTTGTTTACCCACAAAACATACTCATGCAGTTGAGAAGGCCATGCATTATTTTCTCCGGTATATAGGTATCACACCAGAAAACATACTATAACTTTTCCACTTCAAGAAGCAGTAAACCTTCCACTAAAATCCTCAAGGTAATCATTCACACGCTGATGTATGCTAATGACTCCTCTAGAAGCCAGGCACAGAAGGTGACATGCTACAAACTCCAGTTTACTCCACAAAGTCAGTCAAAAGTTATAAACTGATAGTCTGAAGACCAAAGTCATACATCAGACTAAATGTTCACAAACCCTCACAGAGCCAATAATCTTCACAGATAGTGACACAGAGGAACAGAGATTCTGAATGCTGGGACGAGGGTGAGCAAGAGTAGGCTGTATATTGACAGGTGGAAAAATAAGAAATCTTTTAGGTAATCCCAGTTTAACAGCCAGCAGGATGGAAAAAAATATTCTGATATTAAACAAACCTGGGGGAAATGTAATATCAAAATTTGTAAAGAAACCAAAAAGTTTCCATCAGATTAACAAGGAGTCAGTAACTGAACGGGAGCTGACTTGGAACCTAAAACTTTTGTTAAATTAACTACCCATACTGATGTCTTCCTGCATTTGCTTTTCCTCAATACTTATTTAGACTCTTTTTGAATAATATTATATATTTAGTTCAAGTTATTTTGTTGTCTCCTGTATATCTTATTTTCCTTTCTAAACTTAAACGTCTTTGACTTGCTTTGTACTTCCTGTAAAACTGAATATAATGTTGTGCCCCAAGCATAAATTCAATATATGTTCCTGGACTTCTTTGGCATTGACTGAAAGGCCAATCAGCAAAACTGTTAAGAGTGAAAGGCCCCATACAATGCAACTGATATAAATATCTGAAGGAATGAAAAAAAAACTTTAAAATGGGTTTTTAAAATTCTATTTTTTCCAGCACCAAATATTTTCCACCAGATTATCTTCCCTCACTTTCTAGCATCATCTTGATGTTTATAATGGTAATAGTTCTTAAATACATTTCAGTTGGGGGTGGTTTTCTATTTTATTTCCCATTTTTATTTAAATTTATATAGTTACCAATGAGCCAATTCTTTGCACAGGTGAGAGTTCTAAAATTTAATAAGCATAGTTATTTTAGAAACTAAAATTACTCAAATGACTCACAGAAAACTCTTAAGATCCTATACTACGGGGATATTGCCAAGAGAAGGAAGAAAGAAGGAGGAAAGAAGGAAGGAAAAATCCCTACCTAGCTAAAACATTCACCACTTCTGTAATCTTTGTAGTGACAAACATTGCCTTCAGCTGGCAAATGGATAGATTTGTCCAAGTCACCCGAATATCAGCAAAAGACCCAAAGACAGTAAAAGTTCAAACTTTTCAAATACACTGTTTCAGTCAACCATGAAAGAAGAAATGACATAGTCTATAATAATAATACGTAATGTAATAATAGAAATCGTTCATAAGAAATAGTCTACACAGCTGCCTCCTACGGAGCTAAATCCGAATGAAAGTGCGAAGTATCTTTAAGAGGACACAACAGAGCCCAAGACACTAGTGGGTTCAAGTGGTCCTGTGTCCCTAGAGCCTTTTTTATGCCAAGCTTGTTCTGTTTCCCTTTTATCAATTCCCTTGTATCAATTAATTCTTTGAGTTAATTGCACATGCAGTTTTAATCTGTGGGTAATTACAAACAATTAATAGTTAGGAGACAGAATTAGCAGTTCTTAGTTTGATTATCTATATAATTAAAAGGGGTGGTAAACTAGAGTTGACAAATAGCATCTTAATCACTTGAATAATCAAACCCCAGAAGCTTGCTTGGGCAGCTGAATTCCATCTGTTATATTAGTTCAAATTTTAGAATCAATAACTGAAATGTCCATTTAAATCAATCATATTGTTAATTTCTAGGCAAAAATGAACAATATGTATTCTCAAATTGCTTAAACTATTTACCTTCTTTCATTTATTTAAAGGAGCTGTTTCCAAAGGATTCAATAAAAATAAAGATTCAACAGACTGAGTCATGTATATCTCTTGAATACCAGTTAATATTCATGGCTCCCAAATCTTATATTATAAAACATCTAAGAAATATGGATAAACTCTTTTGGTACCAGATTCTAATTAACGCTTTTATTTAAGCGTGTGCTGAAAGACAGCAAGGAAGACATACCTATAATCCTTTTTTGGCTTCTGATGAGATCAGTTGTTTATAGATACAGAGCAAATACTAAGAAGCAGGATAAGCTTGAAGTGAGTTAGAAAAATACATGAGAACTTCATTTTTATTAGGATATAATACAGAAGAGTGGTATCACTGTGGCATATGTTTCTGAATTGCCAAGTATTTGAACAAGTTTGGCAAACACTTTCATGCTAAAAGTGGATTTTAAAAATGTTTAAAAAGAGGGGCACCTGGGTGGCTCCATCGTTAAGTGTCTGCCTTCGGCTCAGGTCATGATCCCGGGGTCCTGGGATCGAGCCCCGCATCGGGCTCCCTGCTCAGCGGGAAGCCTGCTTCTCCCTCTCCCACTCCCCCTGCTTGTGTTCCCTCTCTCGCTGTGTCTCTCTCTGTCAAATAAACACATAAAATCTTTAAAATATATATATATATACGTATATATATATATGTAGGGGTGCCTGAGTGGCTCATTCGTTAAGCGTCTGCCTTCGGCTCAGGTCATGGTCACAGGGTCCTGGGATCGAGCCCCGCATCGGGCTCCCTGCTCAGCGAGAAGCCTGCTTCTCCCTCTCCCACTCCCCCTGCTTGTGTTCCCCTGCTCTCTGTGTCTCTCTCTGTCAAATAAATACATAAAATCTTTTTAAAAAATGTTTAAAAATCATCATTTCTGGTTCAATAGGTCTTTGTGACTTTTGGCTGTGTGGCAGCCCCTTTTACAGTCCCACTAAAATATTGTAACAATAAAGGAAAAGATGAAGATCTCAAGGTCACAAAAAATTAAGTCTAACCCTTTACCAATTTGCAGATGAGAAAAAAAATTTTCTTTAATTAAGATGACAGAAGTGAATTGAGGAAAGCAATTAGTGACCTTTACATAATAATAAAATTCCTAACCCAACTGAAAAATGTTAGAAAAA